GGTCGTCGGGGAAGCCGCCGGACTTGGGGATGAGGTCGTCGGGGACGCCGCCGCACTTGGGGATGAGGTTGTCGGGGACGCCGCCGGACTTGTGGAGCGGGGAGTCGGTGAGGGCAGACCCGGCGCGGACGACGTCGGTGAGGACGTCCTCTGGGGCGACGGGCTCGCCGACTTCGGCCTTAGAGCCGACGGGGCCCTTGATGAGAGAGGCGAACTCCATCACCCTCTCCTCTCTGTCCCTTTCCTCTCACTAGTGAAAGACCGCCGAGAAATAAGTGCTCGATGGATCTATTTGTAATTGGGACAAACTTGGAAGCTACGGAAGCCTGCTAATCGCTTGCCGCCCACGAAAACCTTGGCGGGAGCGCCAGTTTCCCCAGAACCTTCCAGACACGGCTGGAGAAGACCGGATTGTTGTGGAGAGCACGGGAAGCTTCCGGAGAGCAAAAGATCTCGTGGAGACTGGGCCAGGAAACCCTTAGAACGAGCCCAGGCCCCGAGGGGGGCGGATTAGCCCACCAAGGCGTAGCCCAGCCACGCAACACAAAAAAAAGCCCAGACACACCATGACAAGTTTTTTTAAAATTTTGCAAAATACGGAATAAATGTGAAAAAATAAATAATCAATTTTGAAAGAAAAAATCATCTATTTGACAAACAGTTAATCAATTTTTAAAAAAGTTCACGAATTTGGAAAAAAATGTTCATCGATTTTTTTAAGTTCATGAATTTGAAAAAATCATCGATATTGGAAAAAAGTTTAAAAATTTGAAAAAAAATCATCAACTTTTTAATATGTTCACCAATTTGGAAAAAGGTTTTTCAATTTCAAAGACAAAATTGCAAAAATTGATAAGGTTCATGCATTTGCAAAAAGAAACAAAAAAAACGCACAAACTGTTCCAAGAAATGAGAAAAAAAATAAAAATCGGTTTGGTAAGCTTCCCAAAACTAGGAGCTTCGCAAACTGGTGAAACAATAAAAGGAGAAGAAGGAAGTTAATAGTCAAAGGTGGTGTGATGTCCAGTGGTTGGCGTGCGCTCTGTGAAGGTTGAGGTTCCAAGTTTGATTCTTCTGTTGCGCACCCTTTTTTGCTCTTTTAACAAGGAATAAAGAAAAGGAAATGGGTCGTCCTAAGTGTGGAGGATGCGTGCGCCGGTTTGCAAAACACATATTAACGGACGCCTGAAGCCCCAAATAGGGAATGCCTACTTCCTATCCCAAGGTGTGGCGACGAACCCTAATCCCTAGGCTTTGATCGATGCCGTGATTAAACGTGGGCATTGGTGGCCCGGCCCGGCCTGAAGCCCGACGTACGTGCCAGGCTCGGGCCTCACTTTCCGGCTTGCAGCCCAGCCCGAAGCCCGATGAAACTTGATATTTAGGTTGTTTATATAGTAATAGGTATATTAGTGTAGTATGTGTCCCTCATAATAGCTATATTATTATTTTTAAATATAGAGAATAGGCATTTTGCCGGGCCAGGACCGGGCTTGGGATTTTGTGGTCGGTCTTTTTTTAAACCCGGCCTGGCCCGAAAATGAAGGGAATATGCCCTAGAGGTAATAATAAAGTTGTTATTTATTTTTCCTTATATCATGATAAATGTTTATTATTCATGCTAGAACTGTATTAACCAAAAACTTAGTACATGTATGAATACATGGACAAACAGAGTGTCCTTAGTATGCCTCTACTTGACTAGCTCGTTAATCAAAGATGGTTAAGTTTCCTGACCATAGACATAGGTTTTCATTTGATGAACGGGATCACATCATTAGAGAATGATGTGATGGACAAGACCCATCCGTTAGCTTAGCATTATGATCGTTTAGTTTTATTGCTATTGCTTTCTTCATGACTTATACATATTCCTCTGACTATGAGATTATGCAACTCCCGAATACCGGAGGAACACCTTGTGTGATATCAAACGTCACATCATAGCCTGACCAACCATTGCTCAAGCATAAGGAAACTTATCTGCATGATTAGAAGTTTCCACCAAACAGCACGCAGCACCAGTTTGGCTAGTTGTGACCTGTACTAGAAAAATGCCCAAGAAAGACAATTCAGCTGATTGCCCAGGACTTCAATATCGCTCACAGCAAACAAGCAGCAGCATGAGTAAAGAAATTCAGAGCACGGCATCAATCTAGTGCTACATGCATACTTGAAAACACTTCTTCAATCACTTAGTTTCTGCCAAGTAGATTGCCTTTCTTACCTGGCACTTCTGATAGGATAGTTTAACTTAGTAAAGATGATACACAAACAGTTTTATCAGTTGAACAAATTACAAGCTTCTAATTCATCCTAAAAGTGATAAGAACACAACAATAGTATCCACGAAACTCACACAAATTCATCACACGGACAAGGCAAATAACCATTCAACTTCATTCGCAAGTGGTCTGACATCACTCAACATCATTGGACTCTATCTGGACAGTTCATCTCAACACGACTGAACTCTATACCACAACAAAGACTGGACTCTTATCTAGAGAAATACCAATTGAACAACCCACATCAGTAACCTCTAACTGCCACACTAATTCCCACCGGACAGTTTAACATGTAAGCATCCCGACCACCCTTGCTTCCAGCCCATCAGAGAGAGCTTCGACCGCTGCTTCTCCATCTTCCTTCTCGAAGAAGTAGACGAACGCATACCGAAGAGACGCTCTGGTCCTCGGGTGTCTTGCAATGAACACATGCTTCACCCCACCGAACTGCTCCATCAGCACGCGAACATTGTCTTCTGTGGACTCCAACGGTAACTGATCAATCCTGACCACGAAGCACTCACTCTCTGTACGAGAATAAGAATCGAAGATCAAGACCGTCAGCAAAAAAATGAATAACTGGAAATTGTGGAGCTTATTAGAGAGTTTGATTGGAAAAGGGATTACCTGTCTTGGTATCGCCTGGGTAAACGTCGAGTCCGCGGGCTTCAGCTCCCGCTGCCGCAGCCGCCCTGGCAGCAGCCACGGCCGGTCCTCCCTTTGCAAGAACTTGTTCGCGCGCAGCCGAGGCTGCCTTCGTCGGCAACAGCCTAGGGGCTGAAGGGACACTGGCTGCTGGGATGAAGTTTGGGGGCCTCTCAAGCTTCACGATGCCGGATGTACTTGTCCTTAGAAGCCGGATCTTCGCTATCTCCCTGTCATCGTTCTCCGCATCTCCAAACTTACACCAGGTCTTACGGCGTTCCAGAACCCTTTTGCTAACGCGCACGGTTGCTATCTTGTGCACTCGCGTGGTGGTCACTGTCCGGACCTTGCGATTCCCCACCCAAGAATAGTCTACGTAGCGCTTGAACCCATGTTCGTCAGGTCCGATGACCTGACGCGGTGGAAGCGGCGGGCGATCCAGTTGCTCCACCTTGATGTCCACAATGTCTTCCTCCTCTTCATCATATTGCTCTGCAAGAAAGAATAAAACAAAGAAAATCAAAGAAAACATAGACCACAGATTAATAGTACAGTAGCAGTGAACTAAACATGTTCAGGGTGGAGAATAAACAATTCAATTGAAATCATAAACCATCAGAGTAGAATTGCGCAGGTGAACTAGAACATATATGCGCAGTGACTTAACAATTCAGGAGAAATCATTGACCATAGATTTCAAAGTACAGTTGCTCAGGTGAACTACAACATGTTCAAGGTGGAGAATAAACAATTCAATTGAAATCATAAACCATCAGAGTAGAATTGCGCAGGTGAACTAGAACATATATGCGCAGTGACTTAACAATTCAGGAGAAATCATTGACCACAGATTTCAAAGTACAGTTGCTCAGGTGAACTACAACATGTTCAGGGTGGAGAATATTGGGATTGAAAAGATAGAGGGAGGTGTGCTTTACCGCAACGCTTCATGGGTGGGGACAGAGATTTCTCCTCTTCCGGGTTTTCATCGCGCTCTGCAATTGAAATCACAGAAGTTCAGAACCAAGAGAAGTTCAAAACGAGAAACTGATGGGAGAACTCGTGAGGAATTCAGTAAAGAACAATGCGTACCCTGCCGCTTCAGTGTAGGGGAGCCTGGGTTCTTCTCCAACTCTGCTGGATTAGATTAAAATTACATAGTATCAAAATCCAGAAGGGTCC